TTGATGTGCAATACCTGGATGATTCTACATAATGGGTGTACAGAGGATCAGGCTAGAACATAATATGTCATTTTGTTTAAAATATCTACTTAGCCTGAATTTTAAAGGGTAAGTCCACCCAAGACTGACATCACAGTAGTGAGATCACCAATCTCACTCCCTATCTTCTGAGTCTAGCAGTCAGAGGCAGCAGTTAATAAGATCTCAAACAACAGATATACAGCTATGAGGCTGTAGGCCCAGGAGTGCCTAGACAACCTCACATAACAGGAAGACCACTGCTATTGAGTTTAGTTCTGCTTTAAAGTGACACTAAACTCAACACTTAAATCTTAGAAATGCATTCAATTATCTAACTAAGAAAAATTGATCTTATTTGGGTATCACTCGGCTGTAGATCCTCAAATAATCTCGGAATTGGTGCGGACGCTGTCCTTCCTTCTGGAGGGTGGCTACTTTTGTTCCCCATAGTTCCTGTGTGTGTTGTAAAGTAGCCACCACTCCAAGATCATGCCGTGATGGACTACAACCTCAATACATTTCAGTACACTAAATGTAAGATGGTAGTCCATCATGGGAGCGAGCTTGGAGCAGTGGCTACTTTACAACACACACAGGGACCATGGGGAACAAACGTAGTCACCCTCCAGAAGGAAGGACAGTGTCAGCACCATTTCAGAGATGATTTGAGGATCTACAGCTGAGTGATACACAAATAAGATACATTTTTGTTAATAGTTACGGTACTTGAATGCATTTTTAAGGTTTATCTCCTGAGTTTAACGTCACTTTAAAGCCCATCAGACCTTTAAAACCACTGAAAACCCCCTTTAATTTTGCCTTCACCATTAACATTAATGCATTTTGCTCAGTTTCACTCATTCCTAATCACCACTGGAGGCTCCAAGGGATGTCAGAGACCAGGGAATGATTCATTCACCTGTCACTGAAATATACATTTTGGGTGATCTGAGACATTTCACTTCCCACTGCAGTTTTTCAGTATAGAATATTAAGGAAACTCGGCATGATAGTCACTGCCGATATTCTGTGAAGCCTCTCACTTGATATTAGCATTTGTTTATACCTTGCATTATAAGTTTACTTTGTTCTACCAACCCTGTTCAGTTTTGATCAGCACAAATGTCCCACATCCAAACTCACATCACTGGCATCGTAACAAACATAAATAGGATGGGGCTTAATATAAGGCAATGCTTAACATCACAATTCCAAAACCAGGAAAACAGGAGCAATGCCAGTCATCCCTCCTCCTTCGCAGCATGATGGCCACCATAAAATTACACACTTTAAACAAGAGAGAGAGATCTGTTACGTTGTTTGTTGACCTATTATATATATGTGCCTAAGGGTATGGGGAAAAAACAAAAATAAAAATACAGAAACTAAGGGGGCCTATTTATAAAAATCAATGTAATTAATGTTTTTAATTGTGCTAATCTGGCATAATTTATTGGTGACAATATGGGTACAAGAAATGTCAGAAGCCTTTAGCGCAATATGTGCAACAAAGGTTTAGCTGGGTAATTTCTACTGTAACTACAACAAGTAAAATAAGTGGGAAGACGGCCCAGAGCAAAAGGCAATATTTGCTGAAAACAGAGACTGTTCTGTTGACAATGACAAAGACAATGTTGACTTAGCATAGTAAATACAGAGTAGCTGTGTTCACTTTGAATTCCCAATCATGTGCAAGGGAACATTTCTAAAAATGGACCATTGGAGTAAACACAGCTTCACTCTATTTACTAACCTAACTGAACATTTACTTGTTTATCAAAGTGAACACTGACTAAACTAAGTAAACAGTTGTTATTCCTTTAGTAGATCAACCACACTATAGGGTGTATTTATAAACAACTCGCAGAGCCATTTGCTCTGCAAAACTCTGTGAACGTTCGTTCTGTGTAAATAGAGGCAAAAATGAATGTTCTTACCATATTTTCTTTCAAAGTCGAATGAAAGGATAATACCGCATTATGGCCAACAGATGGAGGAGCATAGGAAAGAAACATTTATTTCCTATGCTCCTCAGCTCCTTCTAGTGGCCATAATGTGGTATTTTACAGATATTAACAGAGTTATTCACAAAAGGGTGAAGAGTTTGGAGAAGTTAGAAGTGAACAATCTTGGCCAAAATAACAAAATTCTCCAGATCACTTTCCAGTTCTGCTATGTTGTCCTAGATTGTTCACTTCTCCTGCCTTCTCCAAACTCTACACCCTTTTGTGAATAACCTTGTAAATTTGACATTGAAATAATATATGCTAGAATATATGTTTTTGCTTCAATTTGAACGGAATGAATGTTGACAGAGTTTTGCAGGACGATTGGCTCTGCGAATTGTAATTGATCCGATTAAAAAAATTAGGGATGCACCGATACTTTTCAGATACCAGTGCCGATACTTGGCATTTTCATGAGAACTACCAGGGTTGCAGCGGTTGCAGCTGGGATCTGGCTCTGGCGCTCAACCACTGTCCTGAAATCATTAGTCTGTTTTGTTTTAGACAAACTGTCACATGACACTAAACAAAAATGTATCAGTACTTGTATGTGTGAGTACTTGGACAAGTATAAGTACTTGCAAAAATGTTATCGGTGCATCCCATTATATATGTTTATAAAAAACAAAATCATACATTAAAACAGAGATGTACAAATCCCAGGAGCTCTGTGTGCTCCTTACAAATGACAGCTGCCTCCTAATTTTTGAATTTTTCTCTAGTCTAGTCTTGGAGCTGGAAAAGTATCTGTACTTGTACCGAGTACGGTACTTGCTATCGGTGCAACCCTAAAAAAAATTAAAATGGCACTTTTGTCCTTTACAAACAGGCCTTTAGCAGTGTACTCTCTCTATTCACTCTCTAACTATTGTTTTGTGTTTCTTGTGTAAAATAACTACAATAGACTAACATAGTGGAAGATAAAATACTCAATTACCTCCTTGAAATGAAAATCAGTATTAGATGCCGTTCTATTATTTCTTCCTCAACAGACAATATATTTAAAAAAGAACGCATCAGCTACTGACATTTTACATGGTACCCTTTAGTGAGACTAGCATCTTTACAAAAGGTTTAATTGTATCCTATTAAAGAATAAAAGAAACAATGTAAAGTTTTGTTTTTTTTAAATTGCTTTTGCTACTTATCAAAGTAGCCTCTGCTATGGTGCCTTTGTGTCCTGCTGCATGCAGCATGAATGAGAATGTAACATTTGTGTTTAAGGCGTGTGCATTTGGAAAGCTTCTTATATGGGATAGCGGCTGCAGTATAGAAATTTCTGGACATTTTTATATACATTTTTAACATTAACTACATCACTAAATATTGTGCAAGACGGATGCAAAAGTTAGATTGTAACAGGTGCACCAGAAAAACAAAACAAAAAAAAACCTATAACTACCTCCAAAGTCACAAACTGATCCACACGGAGCACAAATGAAATAAAGTGCGTCAAGACAAACATACATTTTCTTTGCAACAAGTTTGCTATCATAACGTACTATGGAGTATTCTAGTAATGATCTTCTCCAATATTTCTAAGACAAGTTTAGATATCGTTCTAAAGAATCTGATCTTCTAAAGCCTGTTTTAGAAATACAACTGAACAGTACATATTGCAGAAAGTGAGGTGTTGGTGTGTCATATTATGATATATATTGTCCACTGTAGAGGAATCATAAAAGTTCTAGTGGGCAGGGGTTGCTAAATATCCTTCTAAAAAGTCAGTTCTAAACATGTGATCAAAATATTTACTGACGCATTTCACATTTCCCATTTCGATTTAAAGCCCAATTGAACGTTCACCTTAAAACAGCTAAATACATTCCAGATGCATTAAATCAAAAGGTGTTCAAAGTCTTACAGTTTGTATTCTTTAGAAAGCAGCCGCAGCCTGAGAGGTCAAACTTGTCACCTGCCAACATGCTGTATAGAAGTGCCCTTGATCTATGTGTTGAAACAGTGGTCTCTCCGCAAATCCAACATGCCTCCTGCTGAGTCAGAGCTAGAGCTCTTCATCAGCATGAAGCATGGGCTTTGCTGGCTAGACTGCTCAAGCTCTGACTCAACAAAGGGGCATGAAGGATCTCTGCATAGACACCATTGCTTTCACGCAGGGAAAAATGGTCCTTCTTTACATCACGCTGGTATGGAACTAACTTTTCTAATTAGGCTGTGGGCTGCTTCCTAAAGAAAATGAACGGCAAAACTTTGCACATCTTTTGTTTTGATGCACCTGTAATGTATTCAGCTGGTTTAAACTGAAAGTTCATTTGGGCTAAAAAAAACTTTTGTAAAAGTGAGGATTGTTTTATCAGCATCTGACAGAGGACAATGGAAGGGCCAACATATGAACTGTATGGAAAAAAAAATCTGTTGAACCATCTCATTATACTATCTAGATGTTAACAGGACACAGAAAAATACAATATCTTGTCATCTTTAAAACCTGTTTTAAATATATTTATATTAACTAATAAGAAAAATAGCACCAATGACAACTGCTCGTATATGTTTGTTTTTTCACATTAGTAAATTGGCGGATTGCAAGCATCTGTTTTTCTTTTTATGGAAGGTGAGTTGTGAAATTGTAAGTTGTATTGATACTATCTTTGACTGAAGAAGTAGACCTGCAATTGTATGCATGTGTCACTGGCGCAGCTCTGAATACTGACAATTGTATACCTTTTATGTATGTTATTTGCTTCACAGCAGTATTACAGAACAAAATGCTGAAGAATTTAGGCAGAATAACAAAATACACTTACTTTAGTTTTGATTTATAATTGCTTCTTAAATAACATTTCAAAGCCCATTTTTTTTATAAGTTAAACTTCTGGTGCTGTAAAACTGAGATAAAATATTTATAATTTTTAGGTATGAAGAATTTCTCTCTTTTTTTTTTAAACCAAGTCCTATCAGCATTTGAAAAAAAAAAAAAGTTTTAAATACAAATCGATTCAGTGTCATTTTGCAAGTCCATAATAGAAATCGTACAAGGAGGTAAGCTTGGTGATTGCTGTAGTCGTGACAGCACAGCCCTTCTAAAGTCTGCTGCGCTTTAGTAGTGTGCTGCTAGCGTTCCACAATCCACCTGTCCTCCTTGCTGGTGTGTCCAGTACTTTGGATAATAAATTCACTTCACAGAAGTTAAATAACATGGGGATCCTGTCAGTTTTGGGCTGACGAAGTGGTTATGTTTTACACAGGATTCAAGGACGCTTCAAGAACATGTCCCTCCTTTCTCTGTCTGTCTGGGTAGTGAGCCATCCACAGATAAAACACTGCTCTGTTTGCCATGCTGTGGGGTGGGTCAGTGTCCTTGGCACGTTTTACAACACATCTGTCTGAAATACGCTCGGCTACAGAATTTGAACTTCAGCACCAATGGGCAGTAAGCCACTTTGTTCACATCTTTGCACTCTGGAGAGGAAAGAAATCAAAAAGCAATTAATACAAATAAGAATTAATAAAACATCTACAATTTAAGGGACAGCTTCATTAAATAGAAACATTCTTTAGTTGATACAAATTTTTTCTTGTTCAATACATTTTTATCCAAATTAAAACTTAAAAGGAGAACTATGAGGTGAGTGAAAATCACTCAACTTCATAGTTCTAGCCGACCTGTGACAATGAAACTGTCACAGGTCAGCTAATTAGATCGGGAAGTGATCGAACACATACCGTCGCTCGCTCACTTCTCGATCCTGTCACTGCAGAGAGTCGTGACCTACAGCTGGCTCTACAATTGGTGACAAATTGTTGAGTGCGTTTGTCTTTTGTTTTACTTGACCGATTTGGTGCAGCGACGCATGGGGTTTCTCAGCTGCCATTGGGATGTGCGGGATCCCTTGTCTGTTTCTGTGCTTTTAAGGAGGTTGGGCTTCCTCCTGACAAACCTGCACCCAATTTGAAATCTTCTGCCCCCATGTGCTCCAAGATGGAGACTCTCATAGTTTAGAGTTAGAACCACACTATTAGAGGTGCCTTGGCACGGCAGTGCGGCTTTCACATCCTCTGCAGAAGACGTGTATCCAAACCTCTGTTATTATCCTTAGTGGTGAGACAAGTTGTTTTACATGCTGGTTTGTGAGTGTGCCATGATGCCTTTCTACTGTTCTACAGCTGGCTCTGCCTCTAGATAGGCAGAGACAGCTATCACTCACGCAGTAATGTCGACGGTGAGTGTTGATACATTTTAAATTTTAAAATTCTATAGTTTGTTTTTATATGCTAATATGAACATGGTTTAAGCTGGTCATACACCAGTAGAATTTTGTCTGAAAACAATTGTATTCAGAAAATTTTTTCCATTTTCTAATAGTTAATGGGATGAAATTGAGAAACGCTTTCAACCACATTGCCGAAAAAAAACAAAAACTGAAGGAACAGGATGGAATATTTTTCTTCAACAAACAAAATGCTAACTGTGAATGTTATTTATGTTAAGGAAACTCCATTCATTCCAACACTGATAGGTCTATTAACTAAAGTGTGAAGAGTATGTAGAAGGCAGGAGAAGTGAACAATCTACGACAACATAGCTGATTTGGAAAAATTCTCCAATTCAGCTCACTTTACAGTTCAGATATGTTGTCCTAGATTGTTCACTTCTCCTGCCTTCTCCAAACTCTTCACCCTTTAGTGAATAGCCCTGTAAATGTTAAAACCAAATGACATTTCGGACAACATTTGTCAAGTCTCTAATGGCATTATCGTATGTGCTGATGAGATTTTTCATATGAACGTTCTACTGGTTAATCCTCTGGTATGGTGCCTTTGGCTTATTTAGCTGCATAGAAAGGTGGAGAAACTCTAGTTAAACCTTTTATCGGGTTTTTATTGCTGTCTCTGTCTGTGTTGGGGAGATTTCCTCTCATTTCCTATCCTGGTGACAACTGCAACTGGGAAAGAAAGGAAATAGAAACCTCCCAGAAAATAAAAACCAGGCAGAGGTTCTAAACCTTTTTTCTCTATCCAAAATGGGAACAATTGTGCATTTTTTTTGTGCATAAGTGACAAATCTAATTTAAGCCAAGCAAAGAGGAATCCAGGGAACAAGTGAATCTAACATAAACTTCTATTGCTATCTAGGAAAAACTGAATCTGTACTGTGATCAGGTAGTCCACTCAATTCAACTTACTTTGAGTACTAAGTAATGTAACTAGAGATATATTTCATCACCTGTTCAGTGGAAGCTTGTGCTGTGTAGCCTTTCTGTCTACTGCATCATGATTCAGATTCAGACTTTCAAGTTTTATAGATAGGTAGGCAGATCACCAAATTAATAAAAACATGGGCATGGGGCATGGGGGTAGAACTGAGCACTACAATAACTGTTGGATGAAAAAAATAAGCCGTGAGCAGCTTAGCTGAGCTATCTAGATACATTTCAAGAATGTACCTTAGATTTTTTACATGAATTGTACCTTGTGTAATTGAAGGATCGTTTTGATGCTTTGGCATATGTGTACTCCTGGGTAGAACAAGTGTAAAACTGAGCATAAGAGCTATGCAGAAGTTTCATGCCATTTTAAGCGAGTCTCTCTCTCTCTCTCTCTCTTGCTCTCTCTCATCAAGCACAGTCTGTGCTTGATCACCTAGAGCAAAAGGGCACGGGAGACATCAGGGGTCTAAAAGATCCCTAATGTTCCTATGGAGAGTAACTGTCACATTCCCAATGCCATCACATGGGGGATTGTTAGTCCCCTTGTGCTAGCAATGACGTTAAGTGAAGTTGCAGTTACTGTTTCATCATTATACCAATCAAGACTCACTTCTGCTGTGGCTGGGCAAGTACAGTGAGAACTCAATAGCAGATTCCTATAACTACATAAATCGGGTGTTATATACCCTGGGCAACAGTATAAGCCAACTATATAGTGTCCTCACAATATATATTAAGAATGCAATGACAACTATATTATTATTAAAACTCTATCCCTAAATAACCCAACATGCCCCTACAGCAATTAAGGACTCGGTACTCGGGATTCAAACAATCCTTTGACTTTAAATTGATTTGAACAAAGGGAATTATTCCATTTGCACCGACACTTCTAGATGTCAGTTTCACTGAGTAAGGCTTAACATTTGTGGATTTACAGTGAATACTAAATTACTCTGCAAGATCCATTGCCATTAGGCAACACTGCGCCATAAAAATGTCATCTGGAGAAGATGTGAAGGACAGAGATATGCTTTTGTAATTGCCAAGCACAATAGCATATGCTACATTCGGGGTGTTACAACTGGCTAAAAATTACAGTTCTAACAAAGCTGCTTATCACGCCATATAGATTGCTGATTTTCCTGTACTTGGGAGCAGGTCAATATCCTGCATTTTATAGAGCGTTGAATGTGACAAAGGAATCATGAATGCAGCATAACAAAGCTACAATACAATGATCCTGCCAGGGAAGGAAATATCAACTCTCTACATTTGCTCTCTTTTCAACTGACTATAAACGTTTTCTGGTCTTATGAGACTTTTTTTAGCCAGCCTGTTTGATAGCGTCCAAGATATTTCTAGTGAAATGGTTATAGGAGGATGAACTGAAATTCTAAGATAAGAATAGGAATGGAAGGACTTCATCCAGCTAGTGTTTTTCAAAAATGCAAAGAAACTATAGAAACAACTTAGCTTGCTAAAAACAGTAAATGAACAAACATTGCTAAAGACAAATGGGGACCAAGATTCTGCTAATGATTCTAGTGTACAAACAACAGTACTATTACTTCCACAATTCATAAACTAATTGATTTTTTTTCATAGGATCTGCTCATAATATTTCTCCCATATTCAACTGCACATGCAATTGTCTGAAACAGAATTACTGTAAGAATGCACATACAGTTGGTCAAAGGAGAAACCATCACAATTGTGCAGAAACTGCTCATACATGTAGCTGCACCTCTAAGGCTACTGTTGTCAACCAGGTTGCCTCTATATGTTGCTAGGTTTCCTTGAGTAGGAAGATTGATTCGCCATCTCATATGGCATTCATAGTTCCAGCACCCTTACTTGGCCGATCCAGCAACATGGGACCAATGGAGCTTCTCCTCTTTTTTCTCAATAAGTAACCAATGACATCCCCGACCATTAATGTATAAGCATCCTTCCTACTGACCCCCAATGAAATAAGGCACCTCTCCCACTTATGTAAAAAAGCCCTTCACTGATCAGCAATATAAGACAGTCATACATTAACCACCAGTGTTAGGAGGCATTTTTCCACTGACCATTGATGTAAGGTAGCCATACACTAACCACCAGCCTTAGGGGGCACTTTTCCACTTATCACAAATATAAGGGGGATTACTACACTGACAACCCATGTAAAGGGGGTAATTCCTTAGTGACCATGCATAACCATACTTACTGAGATTGCTCCCAATGTAAAAGGACAGCACAGTTTTAACTGTCTGCATTTCATTTCTAACCATTAATATTCATTTCATAACTATTACCTTTATTAATTTTGTCAAATAGAAAAGGGGGGTGAAAAAATGTCTCTTAGTACACCACATTATATCTACAACATATACCGTATTTCCCCCGAAATTATATTGGGAAATATATCTTTTCTTACCATGAGTGGAGGCAAACTCCCAAAAAAAAGCTCAAAATTTGACTTATAATCTGGGCACACATTACTCGCTATGTAGATCCCAAGAGGCAGCATGAATGTTGTGGTTCTAGTGGTTATATGTATTTCAGTAATGTTTATGAGTAGCATTAAAATCCTGTGGTAGTCGCTGTCTGCACTCTACTCTCAACAGAAAAATGTAATGTAATCCTTGCACGTTAAAGTGTCAGATTATGTTCTTTATCTTATTACCACCAGAGTGTTTTGTGTTTTTTTTTTTCAAAAGGAAAACATATTGTTGAAATTGTTGAACATATCTAATTATGATTCTCTGCTTACTTCAGCTCCCGTATGTTGATAGCAATATGTGTTCCTTCACACAGATCTGGGCAGAGGGGGAGAGTATTGGGCACTGGCTGGCAGAGTTGTGGATAGTATATGTGTGTCACCTAGGTTTCTCTCCCACACATGGTTCTCCAGGATATGGAGAAAACAAACATTTTATACTGGGAAACTTTTTGTTTATGTATTCTGTAAAGTCCTTCCATGTGCACATTCGTTTAAAGCAAGCTATGAATTGATGAGTGTGTTTTTTGTTTCACTTGTTGGATTTGGTGTGGGGACACACTGGGGGCTTCACCTGCCATTTTGATGTGCTGGGTTCTGGTGTGTCCTTGTGCGTTCAAGGAGGATTGGGCTTCCTCCTGGCAAGCCTGCACCCAATTCATCCTTTGCTATACATGCTCCAAGATGGAGGCTCTCATAGATTAGAGTTAGGACCTCACTTTTAACCATAATAGTTAGACAGGGTAATTTGTTTTTTTTCTGCAGGTAAGGGTGCTGGGAAATTTTTCCTTTTGTACTGTGTAAAGCCCTTCCATGTGCACCTTACTTTAAAGCTGGTTATGAACTGATAAATGGCCTGTCCACACTACATTTGAATGTGCCCATATTCTATGCATGGGAAAAGCCGAACTTCTCATCCAATCAGATATGATAAGCAGAAAGTGAAATCTGGTTGCACAGCCTGCATCTGCTCATGTATGTAGTCCTTCGGCTATTTTTATTTCGTATGGCCTTCAAAGTTGTGTTGGCAGCCCAATCATTACATGCATAGGAGGGATAGACAATTGAAAAAGGCATATCTTTCTTCATAGCTATATACATTTCAGTTCTATTCCAGTTTTGACAGAATTCTTCTGATACTTAGGGGGTGATTTACTAACCTAAACACACGCACGCACCAGGTGCGTGTGATTTTAACACAGCAAAACGTATTTATCAACCAAAAAGTCTCTATAAGCATATTTCCACTAATGCCATATATGGAAAAATCATGCACATGATGCATATATAATGCTGCTTCACAGTTTAGACAAAAATGGTTAGCTCATGCATTTACATTCCTGCATTCATCAACGGAAGCAACACAACATAGAGCTAATTTACACAACATCACCTTAGAATTCAATGCTTGGCTTTGCACAACACACCTGCTGGGTGTGTAGACACTACAAATGTGTTCAGATTCCTCCCATAGATCATGCTGGGAGGGAACACACTACAGAGGTGTATACATGTTCGTGGTGTGTTTATAAGGTTAGTAAATCAAGCCCTTAGAGTCTATTTATTGAACTAAATATTAACGACAACGCTTTCCAGAATATGGGCACGTTTGGCTAATAGTGGATGTAAACAGGGTAGATCAGAGTAAGGTCTAAAGTATTCTGATAAAACTCAGAACATGCTAAGATACAATTTTTTTATTTATTTATGAAAAATTGTCCTTTTAAAATGTATGGTTTTACTTTGCACTGTAAAATGCCTCTACCCTACCCAATACATTGTTCTCATAAATATCTGGCTTGTGGCTACAATAGTATTTGAACTATTTGATGAAGAATTGCTGTAGCCATGAAATAGTTTAGTCTACACTAGACCCCTCTTGACTCACCATTATGACGGAAATGAAAAGCAGTAATGTATGTGTTTGTGTGTGTTATTCATTGTCTCATGTCTGCTTTGTTAAGCAAATGACTTTTACCTGCCCTGGCATAAAATACATGTGCTATTTTTTTTTACTAAAAGGAACACTCCAGCCAAATCAGAAACAGTCTCCTTTTGGACCAGAGCTTCAGCTTTAAACCTGGCATTTATACTCTGCACATGGGTGATCTACAATTCACATTCCTATGGGTGCTGTGATCCTCATCTACCGAAAAATCTCTGAATGTGAGCCAATGTGTTCTGTGGTTTTAGCAACACCCTCTTGAATTGTATACAACTTATATTTATATATGTTTCCTGAATAGCATCAGCAATTCACAATTTTCATGATTTTACTTGTTGCTGGTTTGTAACACATTCATAACATTTTGCATGGCAATTCTGGCATTGATGCCAGCTCATGAGCATAGCAACAAACTCACCCTCTGTGTTGGAAATGGGACTGCTGTCACATTTGCTTTCACACTGTTGCATTGAAGATGGACGAAGAGTTTCTGGACAATCGTTTGATGCCTGCCCCGTGTATGATAAACACTGCACTGTTCTCATCTGCTGTCCCAGACCGCAGTGCGCTGAGCACTAATGAACACAGTAAAGAGGAGGACGTTCAGTTATGCACAATTAACATTGACTTACTCTGAAGTCTAAGGCCTTTGAATCTACAAACAAATTAATCTGCTTAACAAGAAACAGGAGCTCAGCTCCAGGACTGTACGGTAAAAAGCAGATAACCACATAGATTTTAAGGCTTTTCAGTTTGAGTGAATGCAGGCATGCTAAACTCTTTATACATGTTAACCCAGTGTGAGCTTTTTCATACAATCAACAATGGCTTAACAGTAGTCTCTTTATACTGTACAAAACTATACCTGAGCTGAAATTGTATTTAAAGAGACACTGTCCCTTTGCCCATTCAGAGTAAAGTGACAGTGTCCTACTGACCCTCTTATGCTAATTTCTTCACTGGTCCCCCTCTGCTCCTTCCTCCATCAGCATCTGCCAAAATACCCAGTCAGCTCGTCAGAAACTAGAGAGAGTGATGACATTTCCCCACTCTGTTATATGACAATGATTGGGTGTAGTGATTGGCCACTGGGCCCGAACAATGGATCAAAGCAGGAAGTCAAATGCTTCCCAATATTTGGAAGCACTGGGAATATTTTTTGCCAGCTGCAATAGAGGAAGGAGCAGAGTGGGACAGCTGGTGTGGTGAGTATCAGTGGGAAAAGGAGTCTATTTAACAATGTTTTCACCCAAGAATCACACAACTATTACCCATGATTCATACATTTTTTCAACTGAATTCAACATAAAAATGTGTGAATCTTGTTAATCTGTGAAATCATTGATAAGCAGACCCCTAACAGTCTCGTAATTATGCATATTTAAAAAAAAAGCTGAAATTGTATTTAACACATGCCTATTCCTTAAATGTTGATGCAATGCTATCACTTTTGCGGGGATGTACACTTACTAGTACAAATGGATAGGCATTTAGCCACATGATCTCTGCTCTGAGGTAGATTAACCAATCTCAACTCTGATTCTACTTCAGCAAAGATCGTGTGACAAAATGCCGAGATTTTATGGAATCACATTGGTAGGAACCTGAAGTAGCAATCTCTCCAGGAAAAGTATTTCAGCCCTCCTGTTCTTCTGTATCTATTCCAGAAAGCTTTATGTTAGCATCCAAGTATACTGTAAATTTACCATAAAAGAATATAGTACTGTACATTCTACAGAGAAACACTAGAAATATTTAGGATCCAAAAGGAACAATATATTTAGATAGCATTTGTTACCCACCTGTCCCCACTCTCCAGTAACCCATTTGGGAGGAGGGCAGCGCCCCAGACTACAACGTAAGCGCACTGGTGGCTTGCTCTCTTCAGGGCAGTTCGTAGAGGGAAATGTCTTAGAGAGATCACTGCTTTTACATTGGACAATTCGATGCTTGAAGCCAGGACCACATTTAGGAGTGCACTGGAAATAAAAGGAAAGCACATTTAAGATATTAAACATTTAATTATGTATGATTTATGTCAGTATAGGGCACTTAAAGAGAAATCTACATATTCAGACACATCCCTACCCTCAGCACAATTCTTAGCTCTATGTTTTCATGGAGCAGCCTTGATTTTACAAATATATAAGGTTTACTGAGAATGGAAATAGTGAATTGATGAGGTTTAGTCATTCTTAGACATGTGCGATTCATTTAGTTCCGAATTAAAATTCGGACGAATTTTCGGAAATTCGGATGTATCCGAATTCCGAATTACACATATAACGAATGCAAACGAATCCGAATGTCCGTTTCCGAAATTCGGTAGCGGTAGTTCGTTCGAACGTTCGTTTCGTTTTAGTTTCTTATTCGTTTCGTTCGAGAAAAAAATGTTTCCCCCTCAACTGTCACTTTGCTGCAAACGAACGAATGAATGAACGAAAACGAAACGAACGTGCGAACGAACTACCGCTAACGAATTTCGGCCGAATCTGAATTGACTTTCACAACCGAATCCCGAAAAACGAAATAACACAAATCCGAATTTAAAACGAAACGAAACAAAAAAAATTTTTGGCAGTGCACATGTCTAGTCATTCTCAGGCTGGGAACTGAGAATGCTCAAAATTATTTATCAGACACCAGAATTAATAACAGTTCATGCAAAAGTCAATAAGCAGAATAGAGAGTACATGGGTGGAAGATTGTTATCAGAGAGCAATGATACACATATAAGGATACCTGACTGCATTTTCTAGTACATCTGAAAAAATTATCTTTCATGGAATTCTTATGAGACATGGTAGTCGTCCTTAAGTGTGGGGTAGGTTGTTGTTTATTGTGATTGTAGGTTGTTATTATAGACAACACCACTGCCACATGTAGACAGTTCAAATCAGTTCAAAACGGTTTCTACTAAAAGAATATACTGTTGATTCAAAGCCCTGCTTCTAGCAGTTTCCCAGCAACTTCTCAGTTACTTCCACAGATAAAATCTACCTATACAAATCAGATAATCATTTTAGCAATTTTAGTGACAGCAGATATCCCCAGCCAATGTTTTCCGGGAGCAGAACTAGGAACAGGGTCTGCTAAGCTTTCTCAGTTGAACGCTATTGGTTTTCTCTACATAAAGAAGGTAATGTTGGTGTCTGGCCACTCCTCCACAGACACTTTCCATTATAAAACAACAAAAACATTGCATCATGTTCAGCCTATATATCTTTGGCAAACTTGAGTTCACCTTTGTGGTGCTTGTGGACAGTGTTTTTTTGCAAACTTGCATGTGAAAGTTAATTTTACTGATCCTGGTGAAATATAAAGGTTGTCAGGCAACAAACATGAGCGAGTAATCCATGGAGCTCACCACTACAGGTCAAATGACTATCAGTAATTACCATGTAAAAGCTTCTTGGTGTAACATATTCTGATTACCAGTTTATGCCACTAAAGTTGTCTTGAAAATCTAGCTCAGGGGTAGCCAAACTCTACCCCTGATCTAGCTCCTCAATTATTCCCCTTTTTCTCCATGTGCCAGGAACAGTACATGTTCAAAAAACAATGGAGTACAGCAGGTAGAAGCCTTAAGCAGCCAATCTAGTTTCTCATCAGACCACACTGATAGGTTACTGAGCTTTGCAATTTTCTGTCACTTTTTTGTAAAATTAACTTTAAAAAATGAAGAGAGTTTAGGCTATTAGTGAAGTGGCTGAAGAGGTCTCTGACTACCAAGAGCACCGATACATACAATATACTATGGCCACATTCCACTTTGATAGCCGTACTTAGCCGTACTGTGATAGTTGTACTGTGCTACCTGCTCTCTGTGCAAAATGACACTGCAGCACAGAAGACTGTCTCTCTTGCCTAATAACTGAATGTAGAGAGGTCTATCGTATCATTGATTTCACCAAGAACAGACTTTTCATTAATATTTTTATAAAATAAGAGGGTTTTAGGACTCCTTTAGCCCCGTTCACACAAACTGCCTGTTTCATGGCCTCACCTTTAAAACAGATGAGACATAATTTTTTGGCCAGTTACATTAGTCATCCTACAAATGGATTACAGTGTTTCATGCTTGTTAAAATTAAAAGCTGAGATGTGTTTTATGGGGGAGATTACGCTGCACGACATGACCAGTAATGGAAGACAGACTAACGGGACTAATTTTCCTTGGCTGCACCCAGGAGTCAGGGGGAGGAGTCACGTCTCTTATCGTAATCCCACAGACAAACCAACATCAGAGCAACACACAAATGATTAAAGCACCCTGCTCTTTGATTATTACCTTAGATAAAGGCAGAATTCTATTCCATTTCCATTTTTTTAATATCAATGACAAATAATCCCCATAAAGTATTTTTAAATTAAATGAGATTCCAAACAATGTAAAACATGCAACATTACTCCATAATATATTCTCTTTATTAACAACATCTACAATGCTTTACACAATACATATAAATAAAAAACTTTGAAGCATGAAGGAGTCTACTAGCTAATTACTGTGATAATGCATTCACTAATGAAATGAGGGAAAGCGGACAAACAATCATGAAGGTGGCTCCACTGTTCCAAAAAGGCTGTTTGGCGATTGGATTGTACAAATCAGTTGAACCAAAACTGAGGGTGGTCAAAACTGCATCATTTCACTAGTGAAGTACTTGATCTAAATATCTAGTGACAAAGGGTCACATAAAGGTTAAGAATCATGTGTTAATTAGCATTAACATGACAAAGGCCTTTAAAGTGGACCTTAACTCAAAAGTAAAGATTTGCAGACATATAGGGAACACCTAGAAATGTTGTCCCTAAGCAATACTCTGAAAATGTTACCTTATTTCATGCCTAGGCACTCTATAGTCTAATAGCTGTATATCTTAATTCTGAGATTATCTAAGGCACTCCTGCCCCTGACTGCGCGTCTTATGATATTTGTAGTGAGATTTGATAATGTCACTATTGGTGCTACTCACTGTTCTACTTGCTGGAGAGGGAGCTGTACCTGAGGATCTGCAGTGCAAGGATCTACCTGCTATTGCTGTATCTATCCAATTACATTTCCACATTGATTTATCATGGGGAAAAGATCAGAAGCAGGGATACTACAGGCAATGCTGGTGAGTAATCAGTGGATCCTTTCACTGCGAGTGTGATTAAACAGAAAAAAAAATCAATCAAGGTGATTTAAATAAAAATTATGGTTGTTTTGGGTGCATACAGATTGTGATGAAGAGGAAATCAATGAGGTATGACTGTTTAAGCATGGGAGAAAAAAAACATGTATGGAAAAATGTAAAGCCCTTCCTTTCCCACACCTCTAAGTAAAGACTGGCATGAAAAAAAAAACCAATGAAACTAAACTATCTACAATAAATGCCCTTTTTACTTACCTAAAGTTGTGGTCACGTGGTTCTCCAGTCCTGAGCCTTCCCTCCTCAACTGTTTATATGTGGCAGGCTCCTTCTTCTGGTGTTTACATTATTACCTGCGTGATATGCACACTACCTATTGGCTGTCCATTGGCAGTATCCTCGCAGGATCCAGAAGAGGAGTGTCGTCAGCATGAGGGGGCTGTCAGGGACCACCCAGCTGAAATACATCTGGAAGGGGTGTGGACCTGGAAAGGGCACTGGTGATGGATCTGGACAAAGGGGTTACTTGCTTTACAAGATATGAAAATAAAACCAAGCAGGAGGGATGGGAGGGGGTTCATATTTGCCCATAGTTGGGCTTTAACTGCAGTTTTCTTGGGAAAAAACACTATTTAAACTAAATACATTTAGTATTTAGTAATTTAGTAATACAGCCTTACCAGCTGACATTTTGTAACTACTGAGACAGGGAATTCCAAAGCAGTTACTAAAAAAAAATTTAAAATAATACTAAGTGGGAGATTGTTCCTTATCACAATCAATGATCAATCCCCGTTTTTGATAAGAGATGCCGCACTCCAAGAATTCTTTTAGCTCTATTAAACACTTTGTGCAAGTATCTCACTAAAGATGATGTCCCCAGTGCTGTAAACCTGAGGGCATTACCAAGGATGCCAAACAGAATGCAACAGAGTGATCCAATTATAGGAACAGGGGTATCTAAACATTGTTGCAATATGAGTGCAGAGAAAATAAATTTGGCAGTTAAACAAATCATGGCTTCACAAAAATCATTACGTTTATATCACCAACAATCTATATCACAAACATGCTACACTTTTGTATCAATTTCTACAAAAAAAAAAACAGTTTTCCTTTAAGAATTTCCAAATACATAGAAATCTTTCGACATAATTCCCAGAAGAGGATCATTTCTGACTACAGAAAGGAAGTCCAAACACTGTGCCTTGCATTCCCCAAATGTGATGTCTCCAAGCACACGCAGCTCTGCACCTTTAAGCAAGTAACCCTATGACACCGTGTCCCAGGCATACAAATGTTCCAGACTAGAAAAACCTTATATATTTATCTAACGATGAAAAACAAATGTGATCCCCCCCAGTTCTGGTATGCATGGATGTTTTTACTGTGCTGTGCCAATATGCTGGCATTCTCAAAACGGCTTTCATGTGGCACCCACTTACCACATTTTTTAGATAACAATGTTTTATTTAAATTCTTTTTTTTTCTACAGTTCAATCACTCTCTATCGTGTTTTGGTAACCCAAGCATAGGGAAAAGACCAAAAAAAGAGAGAGAGAGAGAGAGAGAGAGAGAGAGAGAGAGCTTCAGCTGAAAGTTCTTTTATGTGCGCACTGAACAGTGTTGTATTATTGTAAGAGTGTATACTGTGATAGAATGAATTACTTATTATGAAATGACAGCTATGTTTCACAGTGCGCACGCTGAAAAGAAACACTTCAATCTGCTCTTTCTCACAGGCATGGAACTCAGCAATACTTAGTTATCTTCACTGAACACGGCTGTCAAATTGTTACATTAAGAGCAATCTTTGTTTTCTAAGAAATATAAACCTATCA